TAGTAGTAGTAGTAGTATGAGTAGTACTTATAATGATATTAACTAGTAGTAGTAGAAGAAGTACTCCTATTGTTCCAGTTCCTACTCGTACCATCACAACTTCGCCTACCGCTACCACGATTAAGACTACTAGCGCCACTGCCACGACTCAGACCATAGCTACGATGACGACATGTACTGCTGGTAGTTGTCACTTTCGCGGCTGCGACGATGTACTCTTGGGGATATACGGCATACGTTTCGCGTCGAATCCTCCCAGGAAATGGCGAAGGATTGGCTGGAGGCAAACGCCAAGCAGGCGAAGCAGTTGGCACAAGCTGCGTACGACCGCATCCCCGACAAAATCCACCTCGAGTCCTTCGGCGGATGAAATCTGAATCTAAAGTTCTCAGCAGTTCGTCACATCTTTATCATCCATAGCCAATATCTCGTTCTTCGCTACCGCACCGTACCCACTTATATGGTATGATGAATCTACATCAAGATGCGTCAATGTAGGGCTGACGACTCAAGAAGGGAAGTTTCGGTTCAGATCTTCTGACATGCTTCGTCATGGCAGACTGCCTAGATAACCGGAACGCTGAGAAGCAGGGCAAATAAGAGCCCAAACCCTCAACCCTAAACCCCTATATAAGCCCTGAACCAAAATTTGGGTGCTAGAGCCCCTTTTCTTGAAGCTCCACGGTTCACTTGACTCCTTCGGTTGAGTTTGATATCTCGACATGCTGACACCGACTTCTTTTTTTAGGTTTAGGGGTGTAGGGTCCAGGGTTGAGGGTTTAGGGTGTCTCGCTTCTCTTTATCGGGCCTCTGCTCAGTTTGGAGAGGAAACAGGGTAAGATCTGTCCAGTATGCTTCGTAGGCCTCCTGGGCTTAGAGAAGATTGGCCGCCTGATTGTTGCGCCGACACATAAGCCTTGAAAGATGTCATGGTTCAGCCATAGCCAGCTCCAGCTTATCCTGAAGAATCTTTGCGCAGCCCAGGATCATGATCGCTTCGCCGATCCTACATGTGCCCGTGAAAGGGTCACTTGGAAGGCATTCCAATGATCCCAAGCACGAGGGACCTGTTTGTGTTGACGTTGCATGCCGGGTCATTTGGGGTGCTTTGGGAGATTTTGCAGTTAGGATGCGCATCAGGCGATTTGTGCACAAGTTTACTCCATCCCGAGCACGTGAGCGAACACTGATATCAAGCACTCCCAACCTGTCGATCATTGGTTGCTAGTGGTTGGTTGGTCCTGAAAGCTCGTTCCCTGCGTGTTTCCTACCGAGCGCAGCAGACTGGACGCGCCAGCGGCACTTTCGTGCCCGGAACTTTCGATTGCACACACCCCAGATGCAGAAAAGATCCCTAAACCCTAAACCCTAAACAGGCTGACCACGGGCTTAATCATGCCGAGTGCCCAGCTGAACTGGCAAACGAGGTAGGTCCAGGTAGGTGAACCAGTGTTCAGCTCGCAGATTCTTGGTGAAGCTAAATATGAATATCATTCTTCTCACTATTATCAGTATTGTTATTTC